AAAAAAACGGCTTTTTGTAGCGATTCAGAAAACCGGAAAAATCAGTTATCCGGAATAGCGATGGTCCCGATCGATCCGGATAATCGGTTCCCTACTGTATTATTATTTTTTTTTTAAAAAAAAAAACATATTAAGACATGCGAGTTAGTTAAATCTTATAGCTAAATATGTAACAGTTTTGTTGTAAAATTAATATGAATGCAATTTGCGTAGGAGAAATTTAAAACGAACTTCCGTTTGTGCCTTAAAAGGACTATTTGGCCAACGGTGATAAAAACATATTTTTTTACCAACTACAGGATATATGGTTTCAAAAAGTAAAACACTTTTTTTTTTAGTTTTTTTCTTCTAAAGAAACATGTATGGAAAGGGCGGAAAACAAAAAATGAAAAGATATAATCTCTTCATCAGCACGCACGATTATATCCGCAAAATGGAGTGCTTGTATAAATATAGCCAAAGCAAATATATCAATACAATAAGTGTGAGGAGCACTCAAAAAATTTTTAAACAAAATAGAACACAATAAGTAAAAAATATATCACGTAAAAAAAACAGAAAAATAAAATTTAAAGAAGAAAAAAAACAGAACTCAAAACTAAATCTATGAAGAGGGAAGCTAATTCAAATGAACTTACAGGTTCACAACATATATTTCAAAAATGATTAAAAATATTTTCTTAATAAGATTGTTGTTGTTAATTTACGTCGCACTAGAGCTGCACGATGGGCTATTGGCGACGGTCTGGGAAACATCCCGGAGGATGATCCGAAGACGTGCCATCACAATTTTGATCCTCTGCGGAGGGGATGGCACCCCCGCTTCGGTAGCCCGACGACCTGCGCGCGAAGTCGAGCACTTTACGGTAGCACAGTTTAACGAGGACCAATACCGCCAAGATTGCCAGAATACATAATATGAAAACTGACGAGCAAATTGAGATAAAAGCGAAAAAAAGAGGCATTTTGCTTTATGACGCGTTCATACTGCAGTACTGAAGCTCGTTTGATTTGTTAGTTACCAAGAATTGGTCAGAAAATCGATATCCTTATCGTCGTGGTTTCTTTCGAGAAACTTCCACAACACAGAAATTGATGCGAAATATAGGGACTAATATAATTAAAATCGCACATTAATCCCATTTCTATCGCATATTACCTCAGTCTCGTCCCATTCAATTTAATTATTTCTATTTATAGGATTGGGAACAAGCGCACCTATCGGCCACATTGATTTCTATCCCAATGGCGGTAGACGACAACCAGGTTGCTTTTATGCTTCTGAAAGTGAAAACATTGTTGGAGCAACTGTCAACTGTAAGAATTGTTTTGCTTTTTTTTTTTCCCCAGAAAAATCGTAATAATTTTTGTAAAAATATTTTTTTGTTGCATAAATAAGAATAACTAACCCCAAACAGAACAGAAGCAACTTTAAAGTAAACGATATATTTTCATTTCTATTTGGTTGTATTATAGTTTTATTTAATTATTAGTTCTTTTTTTTTTTTTTTTTTTTTTTTTTTTTTTTTTTTTTTNTTTTTTTTGTTTACTGCCAACATATATTTTGAAGTGCATGAGAATCAATTTAATAACTTCACTGCAAGAACATTTAGTTTTAAAAAAAACAAGCATATTTTTAGCAATGTATTCGCAATTATTCTTTCGAACAATTGTTATTTTGACAATTTTATATAATCTTTTGCATAACAGTCACAGTTCTGTATTCAGTTTGCCTTAAAATTAAAAATTGTGGTGACTTTACACCAAAATTTTTTACACTGTAGTCGTTTTTTTTTCTCTTTTTTTTTTAAATTTAAATCGTCAAACAGAAAATAAAAAACAAGATAATCATGTTCAATTGAAATTTTACTAAATTTTACAAAATCTCATTTTTAATAACAAATTTTAAATTAAACAGTAATTAAAATTCTATTATGTCTTTTTTTTTTGGTTGGTAGATAACACGCAAAAGACAATATTTTCTCTATTTAAATTTTTTTCCATTTTTCTCATTCATTTTTTCTCTGAGATTTAGATCATTACTCACTCAAGCCTTTACTTTCGATTCAAATTTTTTTATGAATTACAAATTCGTATACATGCAAGGACAAATTTGTATGCATATGGACTACAAATACATACTACAAATTTGTATACATATGGGCAGGTTCGGTCGTTGAACAGCCGACCCAATTTCGGGTTTACGATTACTAATGTTCAACTCCGTAGCCTTGTAATTTTGAATCCAATTCAGAAGACAAGGAAACTCCTGGATCACTACCCCCAGAGGTATTGATTTGTTATGGGAACATGGAGGACTTTGCGACACGACAGATTTAACGTGCATCAGTCACCATTTCACTACACGGAGAGTCTTCGGCCAGCGGGGATCAAATCCACAAACTCTTGGACATGGGTCCAATGCCCTACCAACCAGGCTATCCCGGCCTTTGATAATAACTTAGACATGTGATCAACTTACAAGAATTATCAACATAGCAGGGTCCACTGTAATAGAAACTTTTAATCCCCGGTCAAATTATAAGACGCCCTATAAGATTCTATGTAAAATCTTAATTACCAGGTGATACAGCATTGCTGTTTTTATGTGGCTGAAACTGGTTTACACTTAGTCCGTCTAATAATTTGGTCAATTATTACATATATAATTATTCTATATTTATATAATATTCTTTATTTATATAATATATCGTGCAATTTATCCAATTGTCGAATTTTTATTATATACATTCTAATTTAACCAATTGATACACGAACGTAAACAAGTGCTAACTGGTTTCAGTAGCGTAAAAACAATAAAGCTGTATAGTATTTCCTGATAATTAAGATTTTACAGAGAATCTTACAATGCGTCTAATAATTTGGTCAGGTACTGTAGTTAATTGAATTGATTTCGTTTCAGTTTTTGAGAGTATATGTTCACAAGCATTTTATACTTCCAGTTACTACGAAATGGCTTTCGAATTCTTGCGATCATGGAAGGGCGAATGAATATTTCTTGGAGAGCATCAACAACAGCAACTGCAAGTTCTTGGCTGTCCAATGCAGCTCCTACAAAGATTTCGAGAAGGGTCTTTGCTCGCCAAATAATTCAACAATCAATGAAATGGGTTTCCACGCTGTGCAGTTACCAAACTTGGATTTGCCTGCTAAGTTTTATTTGAGAACCAACGCCTCTTCACCTTACTGTATTGAAGACAGCATTCTTTTGTGAATCCCTTAGCTTCTTGCAGTTTTTAACAATGTTTTTTCCCCCATCTTCTGTGTATTTTACTGTATTTTTAAATAAACTAAAGCAATTTGAAGGAATAAATCTTGTAAAAAAGAGCTGTTTGCAAAAATTTTTGAATTAATATGAAATCACATTATTTTTTGTTAAATTTTTGGAGAACAACTCATTTTTGTCTTACTACTTCATTAAAAATAGTATTCTTTTGCGTATCTTTTAGCTTACCGCAATTCTTTCGTACAACGATTTTTTTTTTTTTATCTTTATGGCTTATTGTATGTATCTGCCGTGAATTATGCCCTCGCCAAATTGTCGTTGTGGCGAATTGTGCCCTGACAAATTGTGTGCGAAGAATGGATAGTGTTCTTTACGCTAGAGCAGGTATTGAGCTCGAGATTGTTCTTTCTCATCGCTCGAATACGCCATCTGGGAAGAGACCAGTTTCATGCCATTGGCCCTTCTCCCTTCCACCTCCTCTTTTCAGTACTACGACATTTTCCCTTTTCTTAATATTTTTCCTTTTTATTTAATAAAAATATTTTTTGAAATTTCCGTGATGCTTTTCTTTAGAAGTATGTTTAATGTAGTTTTCAGTTCCATACAGTTTTCCATCTTAAAAGATTTTAATCTATATGAAAATCAAGAGAGAAACTAACGTACTTCCTTCCTCTATGACTCTCCACACGCTAATGGGGAAAGCATGTGAAGTGTTGCCATAGGTAGAGAGTTCTACTTTACGCCACCTGCAGCCCATTTCGATCGCCAATTGAAAACACCATCCATTGCCTCACAATGAATTGTCGTCTTTACAATGCTAAACCTAAGGACTGTTCTTACTGCATGCAAAAACTCCTAACAGGGTGTGAAAATCTGATTGATAACCGAAATCATTTTCGCTGCATGTAAACGTTTTCAGTGGTTTTCCTTTGCGTGCAACGCAAAATGTGATCATTTTGATATAATCCTAAAGTAAACTAATCTTTTAACTTTCACAAATATAATTTTACTCCGATGGTTAAATTGCTAGTTAAAATCTGAAAAACATTTTCGTTTGTTTTTCTTAGCGTGTAACGCGAAATTTGATAAATTTAGAATGGATGTTTAAAGTGTCACGTCCCCATGTATTAAAAGAAACGTTTGTTGGATACAAGAATCGAAAAGATGCTGCGCTGAAAAGGATTATTGATGACAAACAAAAGGAGGATTTATACGACGACAGATATTTTTTTCTTTTAATGCTTTTGAATAATAAATTCAATATAGTGATATTACCACTTATTAGATTAGTTTATAATAAATGCCTCCTGTGTGTTTAAGTGAACTGTTTTTATTGATTTTTTATTAAAATAAATAATGATTAAACAATATATTCATCTTAGTCAAGTTCAAAGATAATGCACAATTTTAAAGTCCAGATGACAAGATAGCAAGACTTGGCATTGGATATGGCTAGTTGCCCTTGTATCTGATGATAATATTCATGTGTATGGTTGACAACGTACACATTATCCTTGATTTGGAGGATATAATCTTTAACCAATTTCAATTTGTCATCAAGATTATCTTCCCGATATTTGTTTGGGCGTTTTACTTCCAATATACTTGTGGAACCATCCAGATTACGAAAAAATCCATCAGGACTAGCACCAAGTAACCCAGCCACAGCCCGCTTTCATTCACATTAACGTTTAAAGTTGTCTCCAATACAGAAACACCGGCTTTTTCATTATGAAGGCCCCATTGGACTTGCTTGATTTTTGACAAATCTTTTGAGCCTTCCAGTCGTGTATAAAGGGATTTGGGATAGCTGCTTCGTTTAATGGCTTTAATAACGCATCCAAAATGGCTGGCTGTGAGGCGAAACTTCCTATACCTTGCCCATTTCCAATTGAAACTCTGTCCTCTTGTTTCTATTTCTATTTTTTGTTTCCATTTCTGTATTGCTAAGTAAATAATACATGGAATGACATAAAACTATTGTTCTATGTTTTACTGCTTCACAACAATACAGAAAATTAAGGAAAATTGTATCGCCGAATTATTCTACCATACTTGCTTACTCCAAAAAAATAAAAAGCAAAGCGGAATAATATCAGAAAATACAATATATAATATTATATAGCATCAAAACTAACGCAAAATAATATTATGGCGAACGCTCGATAATATTAGTTTGCATAGAATCTAATATTGTATAATGCAGAGCAAACAGCGACCTCTTGTATCTTTCTAATATTAGAAGTTGTGCAAGATAACGTTAGATTTTGCCGATTTTCTGGTGTTATCTAATTTTAGATGCTACTTGGGTATGGAAGATATATCTTCAGGAGACAATTTCGCCTTCTCAAGAATATAAGAAGAGTTAAAGGGTGTGTTTTCCCTCGAAAATAAAATTTCCTCCATTGAAATAAGATTTAACGTAGCTGGAGGCGACTCATCAGATAAAAGCCAAGAAAAACCTACAATAGCATCTTGTTTAACAATATCTGTGAGAAATTCTTTTCTCATGATGTGGAGAAAAAAAGGCTTTGCTACTTTCAATTTCTTGCACGGAAAAAGCTGATCAATCGTTTGAACGTCTGAAGTTTTCTTTTGGAGCTTTTTCAAATCCCACTTGCAGAGTTGATGATCAGTAACTGATACATTGTGATGAGCATATATCAGTGCCGCTGCCATATGGTGGCACAAAACTGTTCCTCTGGGACATTCACGATGTGCACTGTCGACAGAGCCATCTCTTTTAAAAAATAATCTACAAGAAGCAAAAAGATTAATGGTAATTAAAAATTCATAGTAACTATCAAATCAATATTGCCGTAAACATTTTTTAATAAAGCCAGAGAGAAAGATAAAATACAACGCAAGATTAAAGAATATATGGAATAATAGTAAATAAATAAATAAATAAAAAAATAGAGAAATACCACAAACCTGCACAACATAAGTTTTATCTTTCATACTAGCATCAATAGTTGCTTTAATGATGAACTTGTCCCCGTCATAATTCATTGTTTATACATGCCCAGATTCAACAGCATTTTCTAGAAGTTTGGGCTCACTAGCAAAAAAAGTAGCGATATGGTGGAATTTGATGATTTTTTTTCTAGCCATGATTAACTAAAATATAATTATTTATAGATATAATATCTTAGTTAAATTTATTAGGCTTTGGAAAAACATTCCACATATCATTGCAACAATGAAGATTACAATTTTAATACTTATTCAAAAAGCCAATGTTCTATTACTTTATAAGAATTTTAATTCTTATGTACAATTTATGAAATAGATTGGAATAACCATTCAGTTAAGAATAAGCTATTATTTAAACGAATAATGCTTGATTAAATTAATAAAGGGATCTTAACAGTCAACAAAATGACCTCAATAAAATGTATTTACATTACAAAAAATTTAAAAAACAGAAAGGAACAAAAATTTAACCCTAAAGAAAAATTAATGTTTAAAGTTGTAATAGTTTTCCCCGCCATGCCCCAACCACCTGACTATAAAGTCCCAACTTCTTTCACAAATATTTTTAAATGAAGTAAAAAATAAAAAAAAAGTTTGAAAATTACGTTACGTTTTCTAAAAAGAGCAAAATAGGAAACCACACATTCGAAAGACCTAAAGGAGTGAATAATTTATTATAGCATAGTGCATAGTATGTTTTCATAGTGATGCATAGTATGTTTTAAACATAACAAAAATTGAACTGTTTTTTCCAGTTCAGTTTACTTGAAAAAATAGTTTCTTCTTTCGAATTTTATTACTTTTCTAATATTTAGTTCTGTGCCAGTAAGTTTGTTTTGTCGCGAAACAGTTTCCCAGCAACGCTTAAAAACAATTATAACTTACACCGCTACAATTGAAATTTGGGCACTCTTTGTCAGAAAGGTGTAGAAATTTCAATTGACCTTAAGTTCTATGTGGCTATAAAATGATGATCAGTGTTTCCGCTAGTCTTTTGAAACTACGGGCCCTTAGGAGCCAAGATATCCATACTTCTGGGTCCTTTTTTGCCCCATTCAAAATATGAATTTTCTACCACTTTAAGGAAAAACTGTGTAATTTGATATTTCGAATTCCAATTTTATTTTTCAGTTATTAATAAAAAGAATACATATATATGTTACGATAAAAACCCGAAGTTTGGTACATTTTATGTTTTAACCGGTAAAAGTTTGAAGTATGCCTTTAATGTGATTCCATTTCAGCCTTTGAGGTAAAACCTAGTAGTCACTAAGCTACTTCTGTAAATCATAGGTTTTACTGGTAAAATCGAAAATTTACCAGATTTTGGAGTTTTACATTAACATATACATTTAAAGTTAGGTTGAAATTTTACTTGCTGAAACCTGCTGAAGCATTATTTCATTCTTTTTTTTCCTTCGCTGAAGAATTACACACCCCGAAGGTCGGAAACTTTACAACTTATTTTTCGCGTCCCCTCAGCGATTTTTGGCGTGATTGACATGCTGTTGCGTGTAAACGAAATAACTAAAAATACATTTATCTTAAAGCATTGAGAATTGACTTGAAAGCACCACAGTAAAAAATCGAACGCCAGTCAGAAAGTAATCGAAATTGTGTCTGCAACATTCCAAGTTAAGAGAAAGGATATTGAGATAATCAAGAATTTCGGATACGTATAATCTCGATACTAATTAAATTAATAGGATTCCAGCTTCTCATACGCGAAAGTGGATTTATAAAAACGTAGCAAAAAATATGCTTATTTACGAACATAATCTCGATACTAATTAAATTAACAGGATTCTAGCTGCTCATACACAAAAGTGGGCGCACGTAGCAACGCACAGTGGGACAAAATCAGAAAACTGCGGCCAAAATTAGAAAATTAACTTCAAAGTTCTAAAAATTGATCACCTATAGGTTTTTTGGGTCGCTGATTTCAAATAGTCAAAATTTCAACAAAAAAAAAATGGCGGATGATTATTGAAAAAACTTTAAATACTAAATAAAATAAAAAATTTTACTAGCAGTTTTTGAGATCTTTGATTACAAATTTGTGGTTAATAATTTTAAAAAATAAAGTAATGGATGGAAAATCGCAAATATTTATCAAAACAAATTTAAACTAAATAAATTGAATCAAAATATTTAAGATTGTTAATTACAAATTCGATTATCGAATTTAAAAAAAATAATGAATCTATTTTGCTAGATATAAAAAATTTTGAAAATGTTATAACAAAAATAATAATCTCAAGTTAATTTTTATAATTTTTTCATTAATTTTATCATTATTATAAAAATGACACAAACTATAAAAATCGATATATCAGCCAAATTCGCAAATATTCGCAGCTAATTTTTTTTTAAATTTTGAGTATATATACCAAACAAATGTACACATTTTTTTTTTACCTCGGCAACGTAAGCCTTTTTTTTTATAGAGCACCCTAAAGTTACAATTTCATTGTACAGGGCAGAAATAGGGAAATGGCTCTGGTTTTAATAGTATTTATATAAAATAATGAATTCATACATATCTTAGAAATACATTTATGTATAAATCATGCATAGTTTTAATATTTTTATTTACTATAAGGATTTATCATATTAATAAAAATTTAACTGAAAAATTTAATTTTTTTTATTTTGACTTTGTTTCCATTTAATTGTTTTTTTTTTCCATTAATAAACCAAAATACACCATCATATTCCTTGGACATTTTACAACAAATAACCATATCGAGATTTTTTTTTCTTATAACTTCATTTTTTTTATTTTGGACCGCGAAAAATGATTTTTGTTCCACAGTGCAATGTAGTTAATAAATTAGTATAATATAGGTCTGAAGTGAAAATTGCGATTTTGGATCACATGCACTACTGTGCAATAATCAAGCAATATTTCTTAATAATAATATTTAGAATCATTTTTTCCGTATCAAAAATTAATTATAATTTATTTTGCTTACTTTTCAAATGTGCCACATAACTGAATATTCTGTTATTTTATAATAATTATTTGTTATTTAATTTAACATAACAAATAATTATTATAAATAAAATTGCTAATTTGTTATTTTACATAACAAAGAGTTGAAAACATAAAATAATTCAAGTGAAGCAATATTTTTTTTTTTCTAAATTTAGTTTCTTATGGAATAAATATTTTTTATATAAATTATCAAGGAAAAAATTATCGAGCACAAATATGCCATTCATTCAATTTTATTTCATTTGAAATAAATACATGGTCTGATAATTTCTGACATTTTCATATTATTTAGAACACATAAATTAAAAAGAAAATGATAACTTATGAAGGCAGAAGAATTTTTCACTACAGGATAATTGACATTGAATAAAATGAAATCTGAAGAATATGGTACAAAACTAAGAAATTTGAGATAATAAAGAATGTTTACAAAATTACTCAAATTATTTTAATGATTACAAAAATTCTACAATAATAATACAATGATACAATATTAATACAAAGTTTTATTCCCCTCAAAAAGTAGTGCCATAACTAACTTTTGGCCTAGAGTATCTCTATTCAAATTTTGTAATACTTTGTGTCTTCAAAACATGTAAGGAGCTTTATAGACTAAGTCCATTTTTTTTAAATGTAACAGCTGACTAAAAAGTGATACTCTTTTCATTTATAGCCAATACAGTAGCCCAAACAGTAATTGCAATTTTGTTACATCTAACAATTGTTGAAAATATGCATTAACTTGTAATGTTGCTATTAAAATTTTAGTTATTATATTTTAGGTTGCACCACAATTTTTTAAGAAATTCAAAATTTCTATCTGATAAAAAGTTGTAGGTCTTCTGGAAGTGACCTAAAATCTCATATTTCATATTTTAACCAGTAACGATAAAAAAAAATTCTAAGGAAATGTAATATTTAGGTCAATATAAAATAACATATTTTCAACTCAATCTTTGGGTTAGAGTTTATGTAGATTTCTGGTTGATTAGACAAAAAATATTATGTATATTTTGCTATGTTTGGTTTGGATGTATCGTGCAGATATTACATTTTATAAATAATTTTTTTACTATTATTTTATAATCTAAACTATTTTTTGTTAGTTATTTCATATTCTAACTTTTATATTTTTTTCTAATTTACATTTTTTGACCAAAATAATAAAATAAAACTTTAGGCCTGTTTTGAAAGATCTAAATATTTTTAAATTTATTTGCTAAAATTCTTTTTGACTTGAAATTGAGAAATGTTTCTATTGATACATAAAAATAAATAAGCATCCTTAAAAAAGTGTTCACAAAACACATGAGAGGCACATATCCATAAAGATTAATATCAAATCTTTTTTATTTTGTCTCTAAAAGTAATTATATTTCTATTATATCTGCAAATAAATTTTAACCTTTTTCAGTCTAATGAGACAATTTGCCTCCAAAACAGATTATGTTGATATTTATACATGTAGAAAAAAACAATTTTTGTAAATTTTCATATTTGTATATTTACTAACATTCTCATTCAAATGCTTATCCTTCACTGGGCCCGGGATGTTAGCTGATTTGTAATCGAAAGACAAGCTGCTCCTTTCGGTTTTAAATGTATTTTCTAGTGACAGATTTCACACCTTTATCATCACTGACAGAATCCTCTTCAGCCTGCACTACTTCAGTAAACATTTCTTCGGCCTTTTTTAAAGCTGTATCTGAAATATTAACCTTCTTACCAGATGCAGTCTGAAACATTTTAGATATCATTTTTCAATGGTATTATTTTATAAAGCAATATAGCTTATGACCATCATAATTTATACATATAATTCAGTCTGTTAAAAAAAATTTTAGACTTTTGTAATTGTAAATAAATGACTTGTCGCTTTATGAAAATTCTTAAGAAACTATTTCAATTGAAATTTTTTAAATCTTCGAGTAGCACATTCTTCAACCTTTCCCCCTATTCAAACTATAGGTGGAACTAGAAATTGTCGGAATAGCATTATTATATATCATGTTAATTACGTCAAAATTTGATATGTGTGATGCAACCAAAGTCGCACAGGCAAGGTACGTATGTGGTAAAGGAAGTAGGAAAGCAAGATATCATGAAGATTAAAACTTCTCTCCGTTTTAATGCCACTATAATTCTAAAAGAATCCTAGATAAATAACACAATTCTATAGAATGTCTTCAAAATTGCTGGTATTAAAGCTAGAAATTTTTTTTAACGTCCTTTCTTTATTTTTGTCCAATTACATTTTGCAAGGCAAAAATATGGCATAAATTCTAAAAGCTTCAAACATGATCTTTCAAATTGCGCCAAAAGTTTTGCCACGCAAAATCTGTCAAAAAATTTGCTGCTAAAAGAAAAATATTGTTTTTCTTAGAGTTAGTATATAGTATTAAAATGTTTGTATTATTTTCTTGTAAATTTTCTAACATTAATTCATTGATTCTATACAAACACTTAAAAGTGCAAAATAAGAGAAAAAACTATATATTATTTATTCATTTGGTTATAATTAAACTGAAAGAATTTATACAATTAGAAATTTTAATTATTAAAATTTATTTTGAAATAAACTTTTTTTTTAATGCTTAGTTTAAATCAGTCTACCCTGGCTGAAATTAGCTTAAATGCAATATATACATTTCTTAATTTCTTTTCAATAAAAAAAATTAAAAAAAAAAAAAAAACATAGCATTTAGCTATTAGATATTTTATTTCTTACAAAAAGTTTTTGTCTATCTTTAAAAAAATTTTTCATTATGCAATAATTCTAAAATGGAAGAAAAAAAGAAAAACATACTCAGTTTTTTTTAAAGCAGCATTCTAAATTAAGTTCATGACACAGGGTTAGCTACTGTATCTTCTTATAGGACAATCCTAAAATAAAAAAATAAAAAAAAATCACAAAATCTATTAACTGAGACTCACAGGAATTTTATGAATATATTATCCTTTTAAACTAATGCGAAAACACAGAAAAAACTTTTTCTCAATACCTCTAGAATAGAAATTTATCTCTCGTTTAATTTTAGAGATTTCTGCTTTCATTTTGTGAACTTTTTTAGATTTCTCATATGCTTTCTTTCCACTCAAGTGGCTCCATTGAAATCTAGAACAGATAAACAGTCTTGACAGAATAAAAAACAGTTAACTTACAGAAATGTTAGCACATTAACACTAATTTAAAATACAGAACATGTATAATAATACGGAGAAAAAAATTTACGCTAGACATTTATGAAAAAGGTATTGTTATGTAAGAAATAAAATATTGGGTAATATAATTTTCTTAACAGCATTTACTTGTTATAACAACAAATTTTCTATAGAACTTGAAATCTTTCAGTTAACTTTTAAATTAAAATTCAATGAAATGTGTAAACCAAATTTTTATATTCTTCAGATATAATAAATATATGATTGCTCTTATATTTTTTGTTCATTTTAAATTATTATCAATACATTTAAATTAAATTAATTATGCTGAATTTTTCATTAAAGGAATAAGAAATTATGAAGCTCTAATTTACTACTATTAAATTTTTAGCAAAGAAAAAAAGTACACTTGATAAGCTAGGTTGATAATTGAGCCACTAAAAAATATCTGTTTTGTTAAACTATCTGGTACTGAAAAAGTGGGAGATCAAAACTTAACCCTGCCTAGAAAGAAAAAAAAACAGAAAACTATTAAACTGTCTGGGAAACCTTAGCCAAGAACATGTGACACAGGATTGCATTCTGAGGAAGGCCAAGGCCTATCTAGGATGGTTGCCCAAATGAAAATTTATTAAAAATTAATTACATTTATAAAACAGATTGTTCAATTATAAAAAACTTACTTAATTAAGCTTGCATTTAAACCACAAGTTGTAAGAGGTACAAGCAAGGAATGATTTTTTACAGCAAGGAGTTTGTATCAAAACAAAGTGTAAAGCTTGAAATAAAGCTCTAATACTTACAAAGAAACTGTAGAAAAATTATAAGAAAGTAATGTTCACTCTCATTAATGCTGTGCAAGACATTTGTAAAAGAAATTGAAAATATAGAAAGTGATTACTTTTGAAAAATTAAATTCTGCAGTAAAAACAATTCCTTACTTAATATTTTTAATGGGTGATTCCATGACAATGTTAGCAATTTTTTATTTAAAAAATATCTATTGGATACCAGGTCATTATACACACGGATGGCGTAGATCACGAGGCCGATAGTTAACCGCCCTATCTCAGCGTTCCACAAAGTTTTTCGTGCAGAAATAAAGTCAGAAAGGATAATTGCTCCCTTAAAAGAATCTCATTGATTGTAACGTTGCTCGATTGTCACAAGAACTGATTGTAAGTCTCGATCAAAATGAAATGCGGAAGCTTAAACCGGGAGGCAAAAGCAAATATCTTCGCTGGAGATTAGCGTCCAGAAAAAAGTCAGAGACCAAGTCACCTGTATAGACATGTAACCAGCACATAAAACATAATACAGTACAGAACCCGTTATCCGGAAATCAGAAAACCGGAAAACCAAAAAGAAATTCTATAAATTTTCCGCCATTTTTTTTTAAAACATGTTTTTTTTCCTCATAAGATTTTAGTATTTTTCTTTCTTTTTTGAAAGAAATTTACCTTCGTACCATCATTTTGGAAATAATCATCAGTGTATTACTTCATCGTTTTATCTTCTTTTTAAGATTATTTCCAAATATTTCTTCTTTTTTTTTTTTCAGTTGGGTTTAAGAATAAAAAAATTGCTTTTTGTATCGATTCAGAAAACAGGAAAAATCAGTTATCCGGAATAGCGATGGTCCCAATCGTTCCGGATAATCGGTTCCCTACGGTACTTCAATAATTAAACATAATATATTTTGATTTACATAATCAGATTCCCTAGTTGTAGACTTAAACATAACTTAACATTAAAAAATAAATTAATAAAAATATACATACTTAGGCAGATATTTTATGCTCCATAGCGAATCATAATATGGCGTACGCCTTTTTCCACCAACCTGAGTGCCATTAAGGCACTCAGCTACTCTCTTTGCAACCTTCTTTTTCGTAAATTCTACCCAACCTTCGGTAAAAATTTTACCTTGTTTTCCAGGTCTAGTCTTTTCTGCAGTATGAAAAGAAAACATTTATAAATATTAAAATGCTTAAAGTAAATACATTTTTTAAAATCATCTTATTCATTCACATATAGAAGGTGTGATAAAGTTCCATGCATCACCAATTGCAATATTTTCATATTTGTACATATTTGCACCTACAAGAATTGGCAAGATGCCAAAGGATATTAGAATTCATAAAAATTTAAAGGTATGTGGAGGTTTGCCTGAAGATTACTACCAGTTTGTCCCTTCCTACAAGGTATTTTTTAGCTTCTCACACGTCACTGCCCAGAAGTCGACAAAATTTGGTGATAATGTATTGACACTGGGATGTATTCCTCAGATAAAATTCTAAATGGACTTGATGCGGCATTTATTTAATTACAAAGTGCATGTAGAAAATGCTAAAAGAAGAAGAATGCGTCCAAACAGGTCCAACCAACTGTTGTGACTAATTTAAAATAACAAAAAAGCTGTGTTTACAAAAAAAAATCTTTTTTAATTGAACATGTAATTTTCAATTAAAAAAATTATGAGGGATATTCTCGCATTTCGTTGGGATAGAAAATTAGATTGATGACGAAATCATGCGAACGAGTGTTTAGTTTCAAGATTTGGTTGTTGTAATAAATAATATTGTATAAAAAATATCGGATTTAAAAACTATAGCGAAATCAATAGTAATAACTGCCAAAAAATCTATAGAATTATTGCTCTTAAAAGTAAATACTCAAATGCACAATTGAAATTTTCCACATTGTTTGAAATATATCGGAACAGGGTTGGCAAAGTTTAGAACAGAATGGATTAATCCACGGTTTAAACCGTCCTGTCCAAAACCCTTTTACTCAAATCATGTCACAATTTTGTATTAAAAGGTAAAATAAACATAGAGCTAATAACATTGATAATTAAATCTACTAGAGAATATTTGTTTTTAAAAGTATAATGTTTTATTAATATTGATGGACTCTTCAATTTAAACATTAAACAAAGGAAGATTAATCAGTAATCAAGTTCAATTGGCCCTCTTAACATTCGATAACACATAACTAATTTAGCTGCTGTATTCACACCAAAACAGTTTCAAAAGTTTTGATTAAATTACTACAAAATTTGAAAACATCCTTTCAATTTACGATGAGCTTGCTAGACATGAGAGTAGAAGAGTGATGAATTTCAAAATGTCTTTGGAATATTCCCCAAATGATATTGATTTTTCAACAGCCGTCTACCATGTCACTGGTTTAATGGTTTTCCCAGGTTCTGTGAAGTAAGTTTTCGGAAAAGGTGTCGCTTCAGCTCCAGAGGCAGTCAAAAGAGAAATGCACTCAGGAAATTTGTCAGTTAAATATGACGAAGCACTTTTTTTTTTGCACATCAGACAAGCCTTCTCCTTTATCTGTAGGGTTTAATAAATAGGCCAAAGTAATGAAATACTTGCATTGCTTGAGTAATTTTTAATACTTGCAATTGTTTTAGCATAGTGGTGATACATCACCAATGTCAGTAACTGAAACTGATGTTATGCCCTTCAAAACTGTTAATTATATTTTCAGTTATTTTGTATTTCGAATTTAAACTAATATATTTATATTTAAAAACAATTTTTTTTTAAATAGATGTCTTTTTTATCATCCTGTAATGCAGAAACTATAAATTTTTTTAAAAAAAATTTTGGGAAAAATAAAAAGGTTAATTTTTAAACAAATTTATTATTTTTTTAAAAAAATTTATTATTTTTAATATTGCATAATTTATCCTTATGCAAAAATATAAAATGTCAGTAATAAAAGTATATTTATATATAGAGGATAGGGCATTCCCTTTTGTTATTCAATGAATTCGGGGACTTCAAAAATTATAAACCTTTTCCTATTATATATTTTCCTAACTTATTAAAGTTAAAGTAAATTGCATGAAAAATGTCAAATATTTAGAGATAAATAGAATTATTATGTGTACATTGGTAACACATATAGAATTTTTATCTTTTACCAAAGTTCAAGGTTTTGGACACTTTAAGACAGTTTTAGTCAGTTTAGGACAGTAAAACCCATGTGTTCTGTCCAAAACCCCAACCCTGTACAGGAATATTAAAAATCCACTAGATCCACAATCGGCGGAAATTTAGCGCATCAATAAGTGATTATCTAAATGCATGAAAATATTATGTATAAATTTCTGTAGAAAAGAAAAGTTTTTTTTTTTCTTTTTACTCTTGAAAATTTAATTATTAACGCCTTGGCGATTGCTGTTTGCGCGGCAGATCACGATATCGAAATATCTCCTTCACAAATAAAATCCTAGAAGAGAAGGGATACTTTCAGACTTACCCATTGAGAAAAACAGAAGAAATAAGTGAGGCAAAGATATTGCCATACAATGAGCAGTGCAAGTTTTACTTACCAGGTTTCAAAAATATTCTACGTACTTCTCCAAAATCAGAAAAGATTTCACGAACTTTTGTCACAGTTATATACCTGGGTATAAAGTTTAGATAAATTATTCCAGGCTTTTTAATTTTCCTCGTGGTATCCATCGATATAAAGGCAGAAAGATCAATCACTTCACCCTTAGAAAACAAATTTAATTCTGGTCGCCACGATTCGACCAAACGGATTGGCTGGTACACTTTACAATCTTTGGTTGAGTGTAGTAGAGGATCTATGCTATCCGCTTTTACCCTCTGTTGATGAAGTTAGGATTGAATTGAGTTGTTGATGATGATGATGATGGCATTGTTTGCCGAGATGATGGCGATGGAAAAGTGAAAGTGTAAGATGTTCGTGTCCCGCAGTGGACTGATCGTTAAGACACGGTTCCCAGCAGAACCGAAGTCAAGCATCACTGGCTGCGGGTGGGTGGCCACTTGCATCAGTCTGCGTAGGGACCAAGGGTGTGCGGTACTGGTCCTCGTTAAACTGTTCTATCGTAAAGTGCTCGACTTCACGTGCAGGTAGTCGGGCTACCGAAGCGGGGGTGATCCTCTGCAGAGGGAATGGTTCCTCTGCTTTGGTAGCCCGATGACATGAGTGCGAAGTCGAGCACTTTACGGTAGAACAGTTTAACGAAGACCAATATCGCACACCCTCGGTCCCTACTCAGACTCATCAAACACCCGCTTACTGTAGCCATTAATGCTTGACTTCGGTGTTCTACTGGTTCTTAACGATCAGTTAAACAAGCCTGCAAATATAATTTCTATAAAGAAATCGCACACCCTCGGTCCCTACTCAGACTCATCAAACACCCGCTTACTGTAGCCATTAATGCTTGACTTCGGTGTTCTACTGGTTCTAAACGATCAGTTAAACAAGCCTGCAAATATAATTTCTATAAAGAAATAATCTGAAATAGGACAGAAATGGTCAACCAAAAGCGTGTTGCGTAAATTCGATTGTCAACTATCAACTTTAACAGCCGGCTAGTAATTCTGTGTTTAAATATCCTATTTTGTTGTTAATTTATAGCTGTTTTAAATATATATATATGTATATATTGTTATTAATTAAGAAACTATTTATTGCTGTGAAAATTTTATAGAGGCACTGTCTTATCAAACATATGCAGCCACCCTGTGGACAACTTTGATAAATCTTTACTGGTTTTATAATTATGGTTCTTTACTTTAGTGGAGTGTCCAGGCCTATAATATATCCCGTATTCCTTAAAAATTGAAAAGACTTCAATCTGTGGCCCTGAAGTATGAAGGAAATCTAGCTATTTTCATAATATTAACAAAAAAGCGTTTGGTGACAGATATACATCCAATCTTGAACAATATTACAGATTAATAATGTTTCTCAATACTGTGCAAATTATAATTTAGTTCTGTTACTCTAAAAATACAGGTAAGTATTTTACACAATATAAGTTAGTATTTGTTATTCCGTCCCATAGTTCTTCAGAATATTTAACAGTTTCATTGAAATTGTAGATTTTTTTAAAAATAGATCAGACTAATTTCTAGGAAATCTTTTCATTTTCAAATGTGTACTACTTTCCAATCTTATAAATGCTTGTGTCAGTTTTATGTTCACGGCCATATACATATATCATAGACTAATTTAAAATCTTTCTTTTTACATTGCTCCTTGCTAATTGGAAAAAAACTTATGAGATATTTCTGTATCGTGATCTGTCACGCCAACTACAGGCGCCAGGGATTTTTATCATAACCACTGCAAGGCCAAGCGCCGCCAATTTTTTGACGACCTGTTTAGATAGGTCGCTAAGGGGTAGGAGGAAAAAGAGAAACCGAAAAAGAGAGAAAGGGGGAAGGAAAATGTACTCTCTAAGAGAGGAGGACCGAAAAAGAACGGTGTTACCGTTGTGATATCAGGAACAGGTAGAGTATCGAAAGAACAGGTAAGGAAGATAGAAAAAAAACGCATGCGGAATGTTAAAACAGGAATAAACAAGTACAAGTATAAAATCTGCATTGGATTATGAAAATACAAAAGTGTAAATAAAAGATTGTTAAGTTTAAGTATTAGTACTCTTAATAAATCAGGGGAATATGTCTCCATGGGAATAGCGGCATCGGAGCAAATGGTTTCTATTGCAATCGGAGCAAGTGTAAATATTTGCCCTTCCTATCTGGTAGTCCAGGGGATTATGGGAGAAGAGGGACACATGATGATGATGATAAATGCATTTTGTATTGAAAAATGCATAGTTCATTTAAATCTTCATCCTATTGAAAAATGAATAAAACTTTTGAATCAAATATGAATTATATTTCCGAAACAAAAAAAAGAAACTGTGGTGCCTTATAAGACATTTTAAAACTATTATTAAAATGTAATCTCATTAATTTTGAGTCAAACAGATTTTTTTTTAAAAAAAGAATAAAAGGATTAATAACCTTAGATTAGACGCTTGCAAACGTGTTTTATCTTTAGGAATTGACCCTGCCTTATAAGACTTTTTAGAAGTATTACTCAAATGTAATCTCATTAATTTTGAGTCAAACAGATTTTTTTTAAAAAAAAAAAGAATAAAAGGATTAATAACTTTAGATTAGACGCTTGCAAACGTGTGTTTTATCTTTAGGAATTGACACCGTGAGTACGTTGTTCAAGAACTTATATTTCGTACACGTTATTTAAGGACAAGAAATCAGAACCGGTTACTTAATAACTGATATATCTTAACCGATAAGTTCTAAGGAGTAATCAGGGAATTCGAGCCAATTAGAAGGAAGAGGCGTAAACGTCATGATCAGAGGAAAACTGGTTCCCTCCGCCAGAAACGTTATCTTCCTTCTCGGCGACTCTTCGCCAACTTGCCGTGGTTATGATAATATCCCAAGGTGCCAAATAAATTTTAAACTTGCAATTTTTTCTATAAAAAAAAATATGTAGATGTGCCCTGGGGTGGCTACGAGTTATACCTTTCAAGTTGGTCCTTTATGTGATGTTTTTTTTATTTTCTCGCGAGCCGCTCCCCCAAAGTTGCTATAATGTTATATAGTATTAATAGATATTTTTAAGTCTTATTACAATCAACCTATAAGAATATATGCAAGGAATTGGATATCTTTATTGAACATCAATTTAGTGATAATAGCACAATTTATGTAAGTACAATTTGCATTTAAAAAAAATCATTAGTTTAATGATGTAGTTCATCATTAGGGGAGATTTCCGTACCTTAATCTGTGTCAAATTGATCGCCAAGTCTTGGCAACTTCTGGGAAGGGGCCCACGGGAAACTAATAGAAACATCTCAGAAAGGAACCAACTTGAAAGGTATTACTCGTAGCCACCCCTGGACGAGCATCTACATTTTTGTTTATTTATTAAAAATGCAAGTCTAAAATCTATTTGGCACCTTGGCGATTGTAGTTGGCGTGAGACAGATCACAACAAAGAAATATCCTCCCTTGTTGTCCTTAAAAGGAGAAACCTGTGTCAATCAGGTGAGTATTAGAAATAAAAATTATTGTTTGTTTCACATTTGGCATGGCCATTGTACCAAAATTACCATTACTTAAAGGTAGCAGTTAAAAGGGTTATAAAGGACTCTAATAATAAATATTTATACAAAAATTTATATATATTTATCATTGACATTGGTTTTTTTACTTTAAGACACTAATCTATGGTAATTAAATTAAAAAGTTTATTGTAATGTTTTTCTTTTTGTTATAGTATTTTATTGTCATTGTATTGTGTTTCTTTTCTTCTGATTTGTGTACATTTTTTCAAGAAAGTAGTTAGTTAATCATCTGTGACTAAACAATGCAGTTACACAGTGATGGAGAGAAATTTGATCATCATCTATGGTTAAAACTGTTCAATGATAGTACTAGTAAGTTCTATTTTTTTCATTTTAAAAAGTTAATATTAAAAAAAAAAAATTTTTGATATTTTTTAAAAAAGTTAACCAGTTTTCTTTTTGCTGTGTTTTAATTCATGTTTGCATTTAAAAGAAGAAAAAAATTCAGCTCTGCTGTTTGACCCTAATTACTGCCAAAAAAGTATTTTACAAAAAAAAAATTTTTCTTCTGTGTTCAGAATTTTAAATTCCTTTTCTGACAACCATTTACCTACCATTCCCTTGTTTTTAAAATTCTTACTATATATTTGAATACAATTTTATTATGACAGGTGAATTTTGAAGTTGAGTAATCCCTTTTTGAAATGCTTCATTTTGAACGACACCGTTTTTAATCATTTTTCACTAGTTATTAACAACGTTTCAAGAAGTTATTAACCATTTTCACACTGTAGTTTAAATACTCCTAAACCTTTTATAGTATTTAAAATTTTTAGGATTATGATATTTTTATACAGTAGAGCAACGATTTATTACAAAGTTCCAGTGAGTCAGGGAGAACAGAGAAAGCATGGAATTATCAAGGAATTTTGTTTTAACTCTAAAAAGCAGAGAATAGTCCGAAGAAGTTTAAATTTTTTACACAAAAAAAAACCTGGAAAATTCCTATATCATACCTGGAAAATAACCAGTCTTAGAATTGTCAGTAACAGTAATCAATTATTGGGATTCAAGTTATTTTATAAAATTCTAATTTTTAGTGAAACTTTTCCTTGTTTCCATTCTCATTCTGTTATATGGTTTTGCTCACAAAATCTAATATTTGATCAAAGTTTTCTGTTGAAAAACTGCATGTTATAGATAAATATGGTATGGATTTTTATTGAAATTTACTTGATATAACAAATTCTCTTTCTCCTTCATAACTAATTTAAAGTGTAGAAAAAGTGAGTTCAGACGAACCTAGAGTAAGCCATAAAGTTTCAAATACTGAAAAGAAAATTTTAAAATAAATTACGAGATAACTTAGGATTGCGCAACGTAGAAGTTCTCTTCTAATAATTTGTTTGGATTTTAATACAGTGAAACCTGTTATGGACACTCCTGCAAAATGGACGCCTCTCAATATGGACATATTTTTAATTCCCCGGTAATCTCGTATAAATAAACCATTATGTACATTCTCCGCAAAGCAGACACTCCCATAACCGGACGCGGACAGTCATTTTAGCCTGAAACGAAATTTTCTATCTCTTTAAACCGGACACTACTTTTTTTAAATTTGAAAAAAAAAATTATTTCTGCTTTTAATTGCAAGGAAAAAAAACAACTTTTAGCCTTTTAAAACATGTTTATTTTTTGCCTTATCCAGAACTAAAAATATTGTTAAGCTATTTCACTACTAAAGAATCAATCTTTCTCCTGTCACCTTGCCTTATCGTTGTAAGGGAAAGAGAGAAAATGATACTGCTCTCCTGAAATAATTCGGACAGCGGCATCTTTTGAACTTTTCATCTGGACCACACAGGTTATAAGACCCCTTAAGTTAAAATGACATCTTAAAAGCTCTCAATGCTTCTTCACCATTGAAAATTTCTTTAATTTTCTTATCAATTTGAAGACTGTATTTAACACAACTGGAGTAAATAATGGAACAGAATGTTCCAACGTTTCATATAAATGAATGTTTCATTTATATGAAACGTTCATATAAATGAAACGTTTATTCAGACACTTGATAGCTGATCATAGGTCCTCATAACTTAGCTGTGAATCGTGGGAGGTGTACTTTCAAGAAGATATTAATCATGTTCCCCATCCAACGATAGGTAGGTGTAAGGGGATGTTACACTTTACATTCACCTATAAATTGAAACCGACTGACGACTGAAATCTCCTATTCGATATCATATATCTGACTTGAGTATCTGTGCTAATAGGACAATTATATTAATTTATCTGTAGCTACATCTGGAATTATGTATTTATATGAAACTTCTTTATATATTCTTTTTTCTCTTTCTTAAAGCTTAAAGAAATATCCTTGTAGATAGTTAATGTAAATTAAATTATTTCTGCATCTTTGAAAATATTCTAAAAACAATTAACAGTGTTAAACTTCGTTATTAGGGTACCTTCCCGTAAGCAGACAACTTTCCTAAACGGACAATTTTTTCGGCCCCAAAATTTCTGCTTAATGGAGGTTTTAGTGTATTTCGAAATATTTTTTTCAGCAATTGAAACTTCATGATTTACTTTAGGTTGGTCTAAACTTACTTTTTTTTTCTTTTAAACTAGTAATGAAGGAGAAAAAAAATTTACAAAGATTTATTATAAAAGAATTTTTGAAGATTATTTTCTTCCGCGGTATGGCTTCCTCTTAAATTGCACTGAATATATTGCAAGTATTATAAAAAAAAATTGAGAAAAGAGAGAAAGGTCCAAATGTAGCATATAACCAGAAAGGTTATGTATCTTTTCTTGAAATAAGATAATTTATTCTCAACTGCTGTAGAACTTAATTTTAAATTAAAGGGAATCTTAAAATGTTTTTCAATATTTTTCCTTGTGTTCTTCCCTTGTGAATTTCCTTGAATATTTATAATTGTACTCTTAAATCTTTTCTGAAAATTTATTTTATTTATTTTTTTGTTTTAGCTGATGCAGAAAAGCAAGAAATTACTCAGAAAATTAATTGCTGCTATGAGAAGGTGATTTTTTTTTTTTTTTTTTTTTTTTTTTTTTTTNTTTTTTGATTTTTCAAAAAAAAAAAAATTTATACAGTAAAAACGATATTTTCCCATGACAAATATTTTCTATAATTTCAGGTGCAATATATATGGGCAAATCTCTAGAACCTTTAACTTTTAGATAAAAAAAAAAAATTTAAAAAAATATATAGGCACACTATTTTAAACCTCCAAGATTGTTTGAAAATGTATGAAATATCAGAAAATAATCGTTAACATCGAAAATTTCGATGCCCTTATAAGTATAAACAAAAAATTAAAATTTTTGAATTTTCCTTATTTACCCTTTATTTTTCATCAAAAATTATTAGTATCATAAATGAATTGAAAAATTTTAATATTAAGTTAAATTGTTGTAAAATGTGTAAAAAGGCCTACTTTAATTATTTTTAGTCAAAAAATATTTTCAAATAATAAAACATAGGGAAAAAACTAACTTGTGATTTGTTAAATTCAATTAATTAATCCTGTGGTTGCGGTTTGACAGGATTATGGTCTGGACAACCTAGGGAATAGATCGAAACTTTACTCAGATGCAACGCAATGCGATACACACAACACAGAAAATAAATTGGGCAATGACAAACGTGTGATCAAAATTTTGATTGATTTTAACATTTACTTTTTAGATCTGCGTCAGGTTACGGTCTTGACATCGTTACTGCTACCTCACCGAATGACAGTTTGGGATAAATTCGATTAATTTATAATTACTGCAAATAAAAATATTCATCTATAATAATGATACAAGTTTGTTCTACTTTAAATAAGCTTTTGGAATATCACTAACATAAAACGCGCAGAATTGGATTGTATACCTTTTTTTTTTCAATTTTAGATGGTTACGGTTTGACATGCCAAAATTTCGCGACAAACTTTAAGTGTTTGCAAACGTCAATATTTACGAAAAATATCATTCAAGAAAATATTGTAGTACAGCTGATACACTTAATTATGTTTTTAGTGATTTTCAGTTTTTTTTAAACAGAATACATATTGAAAAAAAATATAAAAAGTATGCTAAACTCTCTAAGCGAGACTCATGAAAAGTCGTCAATCGTAGGATTGAAGTAAGAAATGAAGGCCAAAATCAAGTTACTCGCAATCAAAACTGTACATATCTCAAAGTTAGTAATGCATAGTTACTCTTGTAATTTTATTAGAATTAATTTTCCCTTATTATGTTATATATTTATAAGAAAAGTTTGAAGACACCATAGGTTAAAGGTTCTAGAGATTTGCCCATATATATATATACATATTTCGCATTTATAGTTAAACTATGAAATTATTATTTTGTTGTACAATTTATTTGTGCATTGGGGATAGTTATATGTTTCAATGTAAATATAACTATTATATTAAAATCTTTTTACAATGTTTGAGCTTCTTACCTAGCAAAATTTCATTTTATTTTGCTGATTTAAATTGGGTATATGTTCGGTAAAGTTTTCTAAACAATTTAGGGTAGACATTTTTGTAAACCGTGTATAAGATTTATATTTAGTTAAGCTTATGTGCAATTTTTTCTCTTAGCAGGCTTTCAATCCAAGAGGCATTTTTACACCATAAAATAGTTTGAACAAGTTCCAATCCTATATGTGTTTATTTAAAAATCGCAAAAAGAAGAAGAAAAAAAAGAATTTTATTTTCAAAATTAAATTTTGGAAACGGTGCACTGTTATACGTTTTTAAACAATAAATGCAATATTAGTATTCTCAGTGCTCTGTATTTTTAAGGATGTGAAAATATATAAATTAGAGTTGTTATTCTTTTGCCAATTAAAGCATCTAAGGAAGTCACACGTGTTTTCTTATGAGTGATGCGACCTTTCTCAATCTAACATGGAAAATATATTTTTACATTTACTTAAGGTAATAGTGTAATCTGTATAATGGATATACA